CCACGTACTTAACGACTACAACCCTCCCACATGATTTGGGGGAGGGAGGGGCTTTGCTTTGGTGATGCTGGGGGCTGACTAGGTGAGTCTGGCTTCTTTCTTTTCCTATTGCCTCCTCACTCCCACCAGTCCCTGCCCAATGGCAAGTTCTGGTCAGGGGCAGCTGGGCAAGTAGCTCAGCATTGCTCAGACTTTCTCATGGAAAACGTTCTTGGTTAGGATCAACAGTGGGAGGACTGCAGGGCTCTCGAGGAAGCCCAGCCAGGACCTGGATGCAGAGGGAAGGAGGCAGTTTCCTGGCTGGAACTGTTGTCTGGCTCAGCAAGATGGGGTTGATGCTGAGGTTCCTGGCACTCCTAAAGCCTGAACTGTTAGCTCAAGAATGGAGGGACATTGCATGGCTTGGGGAGGCTGGGCTCTTGAGAAGACAAGTGGACTGAAGGATGGAAAGTTTGAAAGATGGGAAACAGAAGGTTGGGATTGAGGGCCTAGAAATGAGGAAAGAATAGGAACAGTGAAGATGGTAGAAATATAGAATCCTTAATACGTGTAAAGCACCTGATCTCATTTCAGTTTTTAATTCCTTAGCCCAGGTTACTGTTATGTTATTACACGTATAAGAAAAGGGGGTTATACAGGGAATTTACCCAAGGTCACATGGCTAGTAAGGTGGCAGAGCCAGATCTGAAAGCCAGGTCTCTGGGTCTAGGTCCACATTTCCTGTCAATATCCCAAAGTCATCTCCTGGCCTGTCTCCAAGACAGGCAGGCAGTCTTCTCCTTCGAAATCTCAGGTTCCCATCTGCATGTGCAAATCAAGTGACCAGAGTAAGTGCCACCCTCAAAGCTTGGGGCATGTGGCTGGAAGGGAAGGTCTGCACTAAAGGGCAGGGGGTAAGGAGGATCTGATGATGCTCACTGTCCAGCTAGAAGTTTCATAGCCAAGAAACCAGTGTTAATCGGAAGGGCCAAAGGTCAACAGATGGTAGTGAACCATGCAGGAGGTGGGGGATTTGAAGAGAGGTTAGGGACAGGGAGAAAGGGCCAGTTTAGACAAGGGAAAGATGGGGAATACACCAGAGCCTGCATTGAGGTATATTCTGCAATTGTCATATTTTTCACCTGGAATTTGGAATGTCTGGATAAAAAGCCAGGAGGGAACCAGTATGGATAGGTATGGAGTATCTCCATCCATGCATGCCAGGTCCTAATCAGGAGAGGAGGAGGGACCAGGGAGGAGCTCCTGGAGGAAAGAAAGAGAAGAGCAGCCTGAAGATCCGGAAACCAGCCTGAAGCAAGGCAGGTCCTCTCAAGCAGATCCTGAGTGGAATGTGAGATGGAAACTTCTCCAGCCATTTTTTGCAAAAGGTCTGGGTCAGGACAGAGAAGGGAGGGAGGCCGGATGAATGAGCTGCTGCAGGAAGATTTACTATCCCCATCCCACCACCTCCTGTCCTCTCCACCTCCAGCTCTGTCATCCACTCCCATGTTTATCAGGTGGCTACTGCGTGTCAGTCACTGTTCCCAGGGTACATGAGTGTGGGGAGGGGGTAAAGCCCCAAACTCCTGTCCTCCTAGAGCGCGGTTCTCAACCTTGGCTGCACATTAGAATCACCTGGGACTCTTTTTAAAATCCTGATTTCTGCCGAAACCGGTTTGGCTCAGTGGATAGAGCGTCGGCCTGTGGATTGAAAGGTCCCAGGTTCGATTCCAGTCAAGGGCATGTACCTTGGTTGCGGGCACATCCCCAATAGGGGGTGTGCAGGAGGCAGCTGATCGATGTTTCTCTCTCATCGATGATCTATTAGTGCACTTTGGTATCTCTGGGACTACTGTTCTGTGAAACACACTTTGGGAAACTCTAGTGCAGTGGTTCTCAACCTTGGCTGCACATTAGAATCACCTCGGCCTCCTGATTTCTGGGCCTCATCCTCTGGAAATTCTGTTTCTTTGTTATGGGGTGGGGCCACAACATTAGTAACAAAGAAACAGAATTTCTGGAGGATGAGGCCCCGAAATCAGGATTTTAAAAAGATTCCCAGGTGATTCTAATGTGCAGCCAAGGTTGAGAACCACTGTCCTAGAGATGACACAGCATTCAATAAACATAACAAATAAGCAAAAATTATACAGTATGCTAGAAATACAGAGCTCATAAGGTTTCAAGCTCAGGGTAAGTGAACGAAGGGAAAGGAGAAACTGAATCTAGGCATGAAAGAGGGGAGGCAAAGAGGAGGGGAGTGAGGCAGGGCATGATGACAGGGGTTTTCTCTGGTAGGGGAAATGCTGGCAGTGCAGAAATTAGAAGTCTGGGTTTGGGAAATGAGAGGGGGCCACAGCAGTACAGCCATGGAGGAAAAATGGGGTAATATTGGATCTACCCTGCAAGCATGCCCCAGGTCAACCTTGTGGGGGTGAACAGAGCAGGCCCAGAGCGGGAACACAGAATCCCACAGGCCTCTGCTCAGCCCAGCTGTCCCGTCACTCACGCCCGTTGCCCATTGGTTATTTTTGCTATGGAATGTGCCAGCCCCTCGGATTCTCCTGGAGAACAGGGGCTCAGGTTACTCCCTCTCCTCACTCAGCTCCCCCATCTGTGAGTGGGTGTGTTTGGGGGTGGCAGGGAAAGGGCCTGTGGGTGGTCAGGGTCCTCTGGCTGGAAATGATATAGACACACATGTGTACCCTCTCAGCACAGGTCCCTGTGCATGTGTCTGCATGTAGAACATTTGCCTCTGGGTATCTGAGGAACTGGACCACTTGCATGTACCCAGAATGTACCAGACATGACTGGAAAGTAAAGGGGCCACAGGTAACTTCAGGGGCCAAGTAGAAACTGTTCATGAGCAAGGTCCTGTTGTCAGTGGCTGAACTTGAGCATGCTTGCCCCCCCTAAAATATGTACTGTGCAGGCTGAACAAAACTCATCCGTTGGCTCTGTATTTATTTTGGACCCATGCTTTCAAGAAATAAAGTTAGGGAACCTACTGACCAATCAGTATGTGAGTCTTTATGGCACAGTGGTCACTAATTCCATCACAGTGTCTGGATTAGAATCCCGATTCTACCAATTGTTGGCTGTGTGACCTTGGGCAAGTAACCTCTCTGTGCCTCAGTCTTCCCCTTGTTGTGAGGATTTAGTGAATTTATTCATAGAAAGTGCTTAACACGCTAAGGTGCATACTAAGCATACAATAAGTGTTGATGGTAATGACTCTGTAGGACTGGCACTACTTGTGTATGCTGGGATGGAAATTTGGATCTGGGGGACACGTGGAGACACACAGCCTGTGTGGCTTTGGCTAAGTGACAGGACTTTTCTGAGCCTTAGTCTTGTAGGTTAAATGAAGCCAGTTAATGCTCATAAAGATTTCAAGATCACAGGGTTGTCGTGAATGAGGTAGCATTTTTAAAAAAATATATTTTATTGATTTTTTACAGAGAGGAAGGGAGAGAGATAGAGAGTCAGAAACATCAATGAGAGAGAAACATCGATCAGCCGCCTCCTGCACATCCCCCACTGGGGATATGCCCGCAACCCAGGTACATGCCCTCGACCGGAATCGAACCTGGGACCCTTCAGTCTGCAGGCCGACGCTCTATCCACTGAGCCAAACCGGTTTTGGCGAGGTAGCATTTATAAAGTGCCTGGCACTTAGTAGATGGTTAAGAAAGTTACAGTAATTGGGTGGAAAGTAGAGTTTTGTGTAGGCAAAGTGTGCATAATACTACGGGAGAACTAAGAAAGTTTGGTGAGTATGCTCACCTGTGAGTGAGAAGATGGGTCCTATTTGTGAATAATTAGGAGAGCTTCTTGGCACCTTAGCTTGCGCGCGCGCGCGCGCGCGCGTGTGTGTGTGTGTGTGTGTGTGTGCAGGGATAGAGTACCTATCATCAAGAAACTCAAGAGCCCTCTCTGGGCTTTCCTGAGAAGCCTGGGGGTGTCTACAGCTGGGGCCATGTCAGCACGGAGACCCCAGCCACGAGGAGCCTTGTCCTGTGTACGACCTAGGCGCCCTCACCCAGCGCTGTGGCCTGCAGCATACTCGGCCACCGCGAGTTGGGTACCGCCTGGCACAGGTCCGTGTGCGCATGTTTGTAGAGTGAGCAAGTCGAGATGCGCTGACCTTCCGGAGCCGTCCCGCGGGAAGCGGAAGGAGGTGGCGTGGAGATTGCGTAGGGCTGCCAATGAGAGCGTGGTCCGATCTCTCGTGGGGGCCACTGCACCCCTTTCTGTGCCTCAGTTTCCCCATGTGTCCAGGGCCCGGGAGGCAGATGAGGAATGGGGGTGCGGGAGCGCAGGTGATAGCCGTCCCAGGGGACGCAGGGGTGCAGGCCAGGGAAGGGGCGCTAGGTGGGGATAAAAAGCCAGGAGGGAACCAGTATGGATAGGTATGGAGTATCTCCATCCATGCATGCCAGGTCCTAATCAGGAGAGGAGGAGGGACCAGGGAGGAGCTCCTGGAGGAAAGAAAGAGAAGAGCAGCCTGAAGATCCGGAAACCAGCCTGAAGCAAGGCAGGTCCTCTCAAGCAGATCCTGAGTGGAATGTGAGATGGAAACTTCTCCAGCCATTTTTTGCAAAAGGTCTGGGTCAGGACAGAGAAGGGAGGGAGGCCGGATGAATGAGCTGCTGCAGGAAGATTTACTATCCCCATCCCACCACCTCCTGTCCTCTCCACCTCCAGCTCTGTCATCCACTCCCATGTTTATCAGGTGGCTACTGCGTGTCAGTCACTGTTCCCAGGGTACATGAGTGTGGGGAGGGGGTAAAGCCCCAAACTCCTGTCCTCCTAGAGCGCGGTTCTCAACCTTGGCTGCACATTAGAATCACCTGGGACTCTTTTTAAAATCCTGATTTCTGCCGAAACCGGTTTGGCTCAGTGGATAGAGCGCGGGCCTGCGGACTGAAAGGTCCCAGGTTCGATTCCGGTCAAGGGTATTCCCCGCGACCACCCGGGGAGATCTCCGCGCCGCCTTTGGCGTGGAGCGCCTACTAGCTTCTTGGCCACCTTGTTCTCTTCTAGCCTCTGGCCAACCTGGGCCCGGGCCCTGCCCGGCTTCCCCCAACCCCCCACTCTGGAGCCTTCCATCTTCCCGAGCTCCTGGAAGCCCGGCACAGGGATCCGCGCTGAGCTCAATAGATTCCCCAAGCCCTGCCTTGTCCTGGCATACCCGGGCCTCCTTCCTGCATTCCTGAGGCCCCGGCCTTTTGGGGTACTTTGACTTCTGGCCCCCATCACCCTCCCTGCCCTCTTGACACCTATCCTTGGGATTTGTCTTGCTCCCGGCAGGAATTTGTGTCCTTATCTCTCCATCTCCCAATCATCCAAGCAACCACCCCCCCATCTCTTCCTTTATCTCATCTCCCAGTCATCCAAGCAAACACTGTCCCCCTCCCCCCCAATCTCTTCACCTCAGCCAGCCCCCTATCCTGTCTCCTAGCCTCTGTCTCTGGGGGTGTTGCTCAGGTCCCCAGTGCTGTGAGACTATGAATTATGACCCACAGCCTTGCTGTCCTCTCTCTCCTTCCTCCCCTGCTCTTCCCCAGAGCCAAGCTGACCTCCTGCTGGGAGGGCTGACAGGCAAGGAAGAGTGGAGACATTCTCTATTCGGGAAGTGGGCCACCTTGAGTCTCTGTCCCACCTCCCCCCACCCCCCTGCCCATTGGCCCTGGGATGTTTGGACAGGAGGTGTAGGAATGGCAGAAGTGAGCCTTCCCCTCAACATCTCATTCTGGCTTTTCTCTTTCAGAAAACCGGCCACTCCCGCCGGGCCTTTAGCCGCCTCACCCATGGTGTGTGGACTGTGGGCTTCCTGCTCTACCCCATCCCACTCCTTCTCTTGGTCCATGTTCCTACATGAGGCACCCAAGTCCCGAAGACAGCTCATGAGATGTGGGACCCCCCCACACACACACACACATACATGCATCCATACTCACCTACCCACCCAAGAAGGCCCCTGTGTCCTGCTGCTGAGAGAGGACCTAGCAAAGGGAGCTGGGGGGGGGGAAGGAGGGGGAGTCATACACATTCCACCATCGGTTCACTGTTCTTCATCCACGGGACAGAGTGAGGATGAGCTCATTGCCATAGTTTGGCTACCAGTATACGGCTCCTGCTTGTCGTGGCACTCATAGAGAAACTGAGGCTCAGAACCGGATAGAGTCTGGGAAAGTTAAACATGGGCCCAGAAATGTTGCTTCTAGCTTAACTGGGCATTTTTGAAGACCACTCAGCAGAAGAGAGGGATGGGGAAGAGGTTCCCATCACATCATGATGCAGAACAGATGAGGGTGTGGTTTTCAAGGAGGGGTCAAAACACAGTACAAATATTGTAATAGCAGGTGAGCCTGACCCCTAATGGGGGGTGGCTGGGCTGAGCACAAGCAGGCATGTGTGTGTGTATGTACGTGTGTGTGTGTGACCAGTGAGTACACCCGTAAAAGTGCCAAGGGTACAGGAATAACCAGCCAAAGCATGCGGGCTTCCCAGCCCTGGGCACACTGGGAGCTTGCAGGCAGTCAAGAACTAGAGATGCTTTCCCCACCCCAGGTATCTCCCTCCCCAGCCCTGGCCCCACAGGGCATCTCTGGGCACTGGGTACCCTTGTGCCCTCTCTGCTGCCTGCCCACCATGCCCTACCCCACAAACGCTCTGATAACAGTCTGTCCATGTCTCTCTTCTGCTGCTCCTATGGAAGCGAAGTTTTCCGCTCCTGCAGAAAGCAAAGTTACGGTAGGAAACTGGCTCCTGCCCTAGCCCTCCACTCCCCCCTCTTCCCTGCCCAACCCGCCTCTCCTCACCCTGCCTCAGCTGCACCCCGATGTGTTCCGGCTGGCTTGGGGTAGAGGACAGGCTGGTCCTGCGATTGGTCGAGTGCCCTGACAATACGACTCTGAGGTGACTCCCCTTTATTCCTGGGATACTGGAACCCAGAATTTAGAGCCTTGGAACCTAGGATCTTGTTATTTGGGGGGCTGCATGGGAACTTAAGCTACCACTGGCAGGGGAGGAGGGGTAGGGGCTGAGGCCCTGGTAATTCATTAGGTAGTTGAGGGGACTACAAGGAAGCGAGGGTGAGTACCCAGGGGCCCAGAGTTGGAGCTAGGGAATTGGCAGGGGAGGGGTTACCCTGAGCAGCCCAGGATGGGCAGGGGAATATGGGGAACAAAAGAGAGGAGAAGATAGGTACCAGACATCCTACAGTGATAAGATGGAGCCTGCTGTGGGGGCGGTAGGAGGTGACATGGGGGAGAGTTGGAATGAGAGGAAAGAGGGCCCGGCCCACACAGGCCCCTGTTTCTTCAGACTTGGAGACAGGTGAGGATGACATCAGCGATGTGCAAGGGACCCAGCGCCTGGAGCTTCGGGGTGACAGGACCTTCAGCACCCCCACAGGTGAGCTGCCTGGGGTGCTCAGAGAGCAGGCGGGTGGGCCTCCCACGAGAGGCGTGTGTGCTTCACCCTGCTCCTTTCTCCAGGGGGCTCCGACACCCTGGTGGGCACCTCCCTGGACACTCCCCCGACCTCCATGACAGGCACCTCCGAAGAGCAAGTGAGCTGGTGGGGCAGCGGGCAGACGGTCCTGGAACAGGAAGTGGGCAGCAGGGGTGGCACCCGCCGCCTCCCGGGCAGCCCAAGGCAAGCACAGGCAGCCGGGGCCGGGCCACGGCACCTGGGGGTGGAGCCGCTGGTACGGGCATCTCGAGCTAATCTGGTGGGCGCAAGCTGGGGGTCAGAGGATAGCCTTTCGGTGGCCAGTGACCTGTATGGCAGCGCATTCAGTCTGTACAGAGGACGGGCGCTCTCGATCCACGTGTAAGTAATGCTTCTCAGGGGCCTGCACTGTCCCACATTACCCTGCCGTCCTGCACTGCCCCTCCACCCCCACCTCCCGGCACCATCCACCCCTCCGTGCACTTCACCTTCCATTGCTTCCACTCCCGGCCCCAGCTATTCACTCATCTTCCCACACTGCTTCATCCGTCTCCTGTGCCATCACCACCCACATCCTCCCACACCTACTGTTCTGGCTCACCATGCCCTCTCCATGGTCTCTGTACCCCTCTGTCCCTTCCTTGTCTCCTCTAAAATCTCCACTTTCCCTGGGGCCCTCTCCTGCCTCACCCATTCAGGCTCCAGTTGTCCCCAGGACATGATCTCACTCATGTGTGGAATCTAATGTGCTGCCTTTTCATTCTCTGCACATTCCTGTTCCCTGTGGGCCTTTCTCTGGGAGGAACGGAACCACGGCAGCTCCCGGGAGAGCAGGAGAGAGCAAGGAAGCAAGAGCACACCAGGAGAGAGAAGCGAGCGAGGTGGTCAGGGGGCAGATGGGGTCAGGGGCCTGGGAAAGCAGGAGTATGTGGGGGTGGGGGAAGTAGGGACCAGGGCAGGGAGTGATGGAGACAGGAGGCTGGGGTAGAGGCAGAGGGGTTGGAATGCTGGAGGGGGGTGTCTGTGATGATCTTGTGGGAAACGCCTGAGGATGGGGTTGAAGGTTGTCCTGGTAGGGGGTGTTGAGCACAGGTGTTGGAGTGAGGCATTGGAGCCATTTTTGGAGATTTGGGGGTTGGCCGATACAGAGGAGAGTGCTATGGTAGAAGAGGGGAGTGGCTGGTGAAAGCTGTATTGGGGGCATTTGGGGAGCTGACAGGGGGCCTGATTTGTGATGGGTGTGGGTGTGTTGGGGGGGTGGGATCATCATGGAAGAGAAGGAAGGGGCCTGTTGTGGGTAAGGAGGTTTGAACGGCTAGTGGTGGGTAGGGGAGAGGTCTGGGCAGGGGCAGCGGCAGGGGCAGGAGCAGGGGCAGGGGCAGGAGAGGCTCCCTTGCTTTATCTGATTGGCATTAGCCAGGTGCTCCTGTGCCCTGGACTTGCCTTTTCCTTCCCTGCCTGTCTTTGCCAGGCTCCAGCCAGAGCCTGGAGTTGCTATGGCAACTTCGAGGAACCCATTTCCTTAGTGATGTCTGTGGTACAGAGGCTGGCCTGGAGCTAGAATCTGCTGGCAAGAGGCCTCCTCTGCTGTCCCAATTTCTCTCCTGCCTCACCCAGTTCCCATGGGCCATTCTTCAGGGACTGTGCTGTAGAGTAGATTCTGCCTCCCTTTAGGTGGCTGGCTGAGGTTCTGCGCCCTCAGGGCACTATGGGTTGCCATCTCCATACCCCCCCCCCACCCCCGTCAGAGGTGAGGTCTACAGTGGAGGTTGCTGACCCAGGTAGTCTTAAACATCCTTAGAATTTATGCTTGTGGCTGGTACCCTATTTCTCCTCCCTTCTGTGCCCCCAGAATCCCAGACATTTTGGAGGGAGCAAGGGCTCAGAAGTCAGACTTTGCTGGCTTTCCATCCTAGCACCATTTCCTAGCAGTCTCACCTTGCTAAGGCACGTTTACCTCTATAAGCCTCAGTTTCTTCATCTGTAAATGGACCTGTAACAGTTCCCATCTGAAAAGGTTGCTGTGAGGATTAAATGACTCAGTGCATTTAAAGCATCTAGCACACGCCTGGCACACAATAAGTACTCAGTGAGTCATTTCATACTTTGTTTTCAGCTCTCTAATGTGTCAGGTGAGATGCTAACATCTCAGATTCCCTTTCTTGTTAATCTTTATGTTTAGCAAGTGGGTGGGGGAAACTGAGGCCCAGCTCTTGGACCTCAAAGCTCTGTAGGTGAGAGGTGTACTCTGGGCTGACCAGCTCCTTCCCGTCTCCTCTTCGCCGGCACTCCCAACTCGGGCCCACGCAGTAGTTATTTCTGAACTGAGTTATTTCTGAGCACACCCCTTTGGGGAGCCTCTGTGCTTCTCCAGGGAGTTCCAAGGACTCAGGTAACGTCCCCAGGGGCAGGACAAAGTCAAAGGCCTGCACTGGGGGCAGATGGATGAAATGGAATGGGAACCTGGGCATCCTAGCCTCCTACCCTAGGGACCCCCGCTACCACCTGCTGTGTCCTCTCAGTACTGGACTCAGGTCAGAGCTGGTGTTAGGTAACCCCAGGGATGGAGCGTTGCTCCTGGAAGGAAGGCTGAAAGGCTGGTGCCTGTTCTCTGGGGCCGCTGTGAAGGCGCCATGTCCTGCGGAGGATGGGCAGGACTGTGGGGGGCAGCTGGGGGCAGGAATGGGTGGGAGGCTGCATTCCTGAGAGGGCCCCTCCCGGTGCACCCCTTCTGCCTTCCCTCACCACGTCATCCTTTGGGTCCTAAACCTCATTCTTTTCTCTCCCACCGCTCCGTTTTGTTTCCGCTGTTCCCCAGCTTCCAGGGCTGGGGGGAGGGGCTGGCCCGAGCGCCTGGGGCTGAGTCCTACCTGGACCCAGTCACTAGCCCCATCCCCGGTGCGAGCCGCCACCTCTCCCCAGCACCGCACCTGCCCTGGCTGTACCTTCCTCTTTGCGGGGAGGGGTGGTGGTCTGGCCCATGTCACCCCAAGCCTTCCCCGCATGTCCCACCGCCAACCCCTGTCCGAGGGTCTAGGAGGGGAGGCCGCCTGAAGCTTCTGCCCTCTTGGTCTCGGTTCCGCAGCAGCGTCCCGCAGAGCGGACTGCACAGGGAGGAGCCCGACCTTC